CATCTCCACTCGTGAAGCCGTGCACTCTCCAAAACAAAAAAAAAAAAAAAAAAAAAAAAAAAAAAAAAAAGTGTCTTCCCAAAGATTCCCTGGAGCAATCTCAATATTAAAACCACTCTCCCTACCTAAACAAGCATCGTGAAGGATAGACAAAATGCTGTCAGACCAAGCGCCCCCGATTTTACGAAACTTTACAATTCCAAGAAACACTTGTGCTAGACCCGCCGGGATGGCGGTCCGTCAGGATGGAGTTGGAGGGTTGACGAAGGAGGAGGTAGAGATGGAGCTGGAAGGGACAAGGCAACTCCGACTTAGACTCAACACGCACGTACTCCGAAATGTGCAAAGTGAAGAATGATTGAAATACAGACTGCAGCTGGGGTATACCCCCAGCAGACGGACTGGACTGGACTGGCCTGGCCTGGTACGGACAGTGGTACCGGGAAGGATTGGACTGGACTGAAAACAGCACACGACCTGTGGGGTCAGGCCACGGGCCAGGCCACAGCCTGGTCCCACAGCAATTCAGAGGTGAGGTTAGAAGTTGCTCATGGATTGCATAACATTTATCGCATTTTCTAAAAAACAAAAAAAGATAAATCATCAATAATCATCAGCAATTACGGTGAATTACCATCAATCATGGACAGCTTTGAGCTTTTTCTCTTTTCTTTTTTTGTCTTTCATAACATCTGCAGACACGGCTGCCTGGGTTGATAAGAGCATCCCCTGGGGCCATGTCCCCTTTTTTTTTCCCTTTTTTTTTTTTTCTCTCCAGAAACGTCCCCCTGCAGTGGTAGCAGAGCTGGTAGAAACAGGCACCACTAGCACCCAGGGAGAGGCTCCATCTATTGGTGGGGAGCATCACCTGCTGGAAAACGGGTCCATACACCGTAGAGTAGAAGTAGTAGGTTTGCCATAGTTTCCGCGATCAAAAACTTTTACAAAGTAGGTTTTAGGCATTTTAAACCACCAGTACCTTTCCCCGCCTGAAAAACAAATACGTGCCGGTGAACAACACGGCCGCAGGGGAAGGCCTGGCAGTGCAATGGTGGAGGAAACAGGTGGGCCCAAGGAAACAGGCAAATGGACATGAATTGGTCTGCCTGGTTAACATTCGGAGTGCTCGAAGAGAAAGAGAACAGCGGGCAAGAGCAACGACTGGGGATTGAACTTGGAAACGCAATTTGAGTATGAGTAAAAAAAAAAAAGAAAACAGAAAAAAAGAAAAAACACGACTGGGGACATAACGTGTCCCCTCAGGGGTCTGGTCCCACCTACGGTTGTTGAGTTCAGAAAACTCAACGGTGCGACGCCATTTCCACATTAAAATATTCGAAACAAGAAATAAAAAAACTGAAAAAAATGCTAGAAACAGCTTTTCTCCTGATTTTTTATAACGTGACTCCGAGAAATGAAACATGTCTGGAACAGTGGGAGTGAACGTCTCCGTGAAAAAAGGATACTCCCCGAGGTGAGGGGACAGGAGGTCACCATTTGTAAAATGGACAGGGACGRCGTGGATGGCCAAATGCATTCATTGCCCAAAGAAGGAAACGAGTTTGATGCCAGACAGCCAAACACAGCTGTCAGAGTTCCTCCGTTTCAGGATGCAATGAGGACTAAAAAAACAAAAAAAAGGAAAGGCACTGAAGTTGAGAAACGTACCCTACCCTCCGTAGGGTAGTTTTCTCAACGGAAAATGGCTTCCCGCCCAAACCAAAAGGGCCAACGCATACTACAAAACGGATTTCACGTCAAAAAAAAAATCTACAAAAT